TATATATATATATATATATATATATATATATATATAAAAAATGTTATAATATAATATATATAAAATGTTATAATATAATATATATAGTTTATAACTTATAAACTTAATATATAAGTTTGACTTTAGAATTCACATAATGGTGATGCATCATCCAATATAGGCTATTATTAAAAACTAAATGAAATAGTGTACAATTTAGTTGTTATAGCACAAAATTGAAAATGATGATCGTCTAATTTTCAAAACTAACTTAATATATAATAATATACTTTCACAATTATTTTAAATATTTCTTTTTTTCCAGAAAATACTGTGAATGTGTTCTATCTATCTGTTTTCCATAATGTGCATGGGGAGTAAAATACACGGATTTGATAGAGCAGCTGGTTTTGCTGTCGAGTGATGTGACCCCACTAAAGCCAATGCCATGGGAAGTTTGGGTTTTTCTTCAGCTTTAGGAACTTAAAGAAATGCCCACTTTGATTTCCCAGTAAATTTCAGATTTAGATGCTAATTCGCTTAACCTCAGGTCAAATTATCCTAGCGGGGCTTATGTTTAGCAAAATTTCTGAAGTCAATCTAATTCCTGCGTTTAAATGATTACTGGAAATACAGGCAGGGAAATGCATTGAACTGGACAAGTGTAAGCAAAGAAGTAATGCGGTGGATAATATTTGGACTCGTCTCATTTAGGGCTCATTTTGACCGAACGCGAGCGGCTGTCTCAGAGGTCTGTGCTGATCAGAATGAGAATTATCTGAGCTGAGGAAAAATCCAGAAAGCCTTTAATTACTTTTGTTGCCGATGACATTATCACATTGAACCAAGTGGTCAATTAGTTGACTCTGAATGAGGACTGACAATAGCTAGAGTGGGCATATTAGAGGATGGATGTGATGAAATGCACGCACACACATCCCTCATGGGTTCTTTTTTTTATTTAATTGTTTCCTTATTCATCCAGTGGATCTGTCAGTCTTAGTAAGTATCTTTCATTTGGCTAAAGTAATATATCAAAGTCTCTGTCCGATATTCGAATCTTTTCCTGCTTCCCTTCTTCCTTTAAGGTTCTCATCTTAACCTTTTGTCACTCCCTTAAACAGGCAGATGGAAAGAATATCTGTCGTTCACCTGGGGTCAGCCATCGATTCTCTGTCTGTTCTGTGTCTCAGCCTGTGTAGGGTACATGGCAACATGTTCACCGCACTGCACTCACAACATCGATCCTACTACACACGCACGCACAACACATACACAAAGAGAAAAAAGTAAAATAAAGCCTATTGATTTTTCTTTTTCATTCTCATTACTCTTGCTAAAGCCGAGTCTGGGCACTGCTGTCCTCGCCTACATGTTGTTTATTGCGATTTTCAGGGAGTGTGGCAAATACATTCTTTATTTATAATTGTTTACTTTCCTAGAATAGCCATAAGAGCTAGTAGAGGTCAATCAATCTATCAATCAATCTATCTATCTATCTATCTATCTATCTATCTATCTATCTATCTATCTATCTATCTATCTATCTATCTATCTATCTATCTATCTATCTATTTTTGAGGGGGCACGAGTGTGTGTGTGGGGGGTGGGGGGGGTCGTCATGTGGCACACAGCAGCCACAACAGCACTTATGTTTTACTTTTTTCCCTTTTTATTCGAAACATTCGCAAACGCATTAACTACATCATGAAATATCTTGATTCTACCACAAAAATGACATTATATTTTAGTTTACCATAAATGATTGCCAGTACATTTAACCATACACTTAATGATATTTCAAAGACAACAGAAGTAATTATGAAATTAAATATGTCCGTACATTACAAAATGTAACAAACATAACATTAAATGTAACAAAGTTTTATGTATGTTGTTATATGATTTTCCCCTTTGCATTATAGTTCAAAAACATCTGTTGAAGCACATCTGTTTAGATCATATGTGTCTATCGTCTGAGTCACGTTCAGGTGCTGATTTCATGTTGTCTTTTGCTGTAGGCCTGTCTGTTCAAACCCGACAGACTCGTGGCTTGAATTTCATCTTGTCATACTCTAAACACTGCCTTTCAGATGACTGTTGTTACCAGACTGCTCTTAGCAAAGCACGCGCGCATTTTGAGTGGTTATGATTGATCCCTGAGGAATTTGTAGTGAGTATATGTTAATCAAACACATTTTTATCGGAAGCATTAAAAGTTTTCAGGTGGAAAACAGGCTGATGATTAATTCAGACAGGCTGCATCATTTTTAAAGTTGCGTTACATGCAGGCTTCATAAACTAAAACACTGTGGGCATTTTAAATAAACAGAAGAGCAGCAGTCAGCACTTTGTGTCTCATGACTCTGAAAGCTCTGATAGGATCCTGGGAAACAATAAATATTACAGTAAATATCCCATTCATCCTTAAGTGTAGCCAAAACTGTTGTGCAATCTCACGCTATATCACTATCAATCTCTCCAGGGTGTTTGTTTAAGCAAATGCAGACAGTTCATATTTTATACTTCATAACACGAGCATAGCAGCTAACAAACAATGGCAGATGGCTTTACTATTCTCAGCGTTTAATACATGGTCAGCATTAAGGCCAGTCAAGTCAAGTCACCTTTATTTTTATAGCAATTTATTGTTTCAAAGCAACTTCACAGTATTCAACAGGAAAGTAACAAATCAATGAGGCAAATCCAAAATTCTGCAATAAAGCTGCTTTAGCAACACAATAGTGTCATTATTCAGTTCCGTTCAGTTCAGTGTTGGTTCAGTTTAGTTCAATAACTGTGTTCATTATCATTCATTATTAAACAACAAACACAGGGGGTGGGGGGTAGGGAGGGGTTTCGGTGTTGTCAACTTTTGGCAACCTTTTCAAAGTGCAAGTGTCTAAAACCAATATCGTTATCATCTCTGTCTAAACTACAAAAATGCAAATTTGTGAAAACTATATCCACATATCCCATGTTCAGTCTATAGGTATTTGAGCAGGAGTAGTCTTTCTTTACAAAGTGATATTGCCATCTACTGGCCTGGCATGCATAATACAGCGTTTTTAGTCATTTTCACAGATCTATGGGGATCGTTTTGAAAATGTTGTTGTCTGTATGCAAAACTTTTTAAAAACTCAAAGGAAAAATGGGTAACTTTATTTTAAGGTGTCCTTGTTACACATTATATGTCCTTACTATTATAATAACAATAAATTATGCATAATTATATGCAAGTAACCATAAGCCAAACCCTAATCCTAACCCTAACAATATAGTAAGGACATGTAGTTAATTAATATTACTCAGTACTTAAATGTATAATTACACTTTAACAAGGACACCTTAAAATAAAGTGTAATCGAAAAAAATGTTTCCGTTTTTTAAGGGGTCATATGATGCTGCTAAAAAGAACATTATTTTGTGTATTTGGTGTAATGAAATGTGTTTATGCGGTTTAAAGTAAAAAAACACATTATTTTCCACATACTGTACATTATTGTTTCTCCTCTATGCCCCGCCTTTTTTAAACGCGTCGATTTTTACAAAGCTCATCGGTCTGAAAAAGTGAGGTGTGCTGTGATTGGCCAGCTATCCAATGTGTTGTGATTGGCCGAATACCTCAAGCGTGAGACGGAAATGTTACGCCCCTCACATACTGTTGATGCCGTGTCCGGCCGGACACTGCATTGCATCGCGCCGCGTAAACATAAGACTCTGTCTGCATTTGTGATCGGAGAAATGACAAACAACAAGTGCTACTCTACACTGCCCAAAATTCGCGTTTGAATCATCAGTGGCAAATCCTTTAAATGAAAACGTACTTACGTGAGTCAGAACTGCCGGCATTGTAGTCTAACGTTACTCTCCCAGGATCAGTAAACAGTCCTCCATAAAATGTGCTGCACACATCTGGATATTTTGGTTAAACTGTTCTGGAACAGTGTGGTAAATACAACTTAACCACTGATTTGTAGTCGTGTCCTCTTTTGGAAGACCAAACAAAGTAGTTTCACTTTCACAACGAAAAACACAGCGGCCTAGCGTGAGGGGAAGCCCCGGCTTAGAGTGCGCTGAGGCCGGGCTAGAGTGAGCCGAGGCCGGGCTAGTGTGAGCCGAAGCCCCGGCTTTGAGTCTGACCCAAATCCGGTGGTCTTGGAGGACCTGACTCTGGTGGTCCCAAGTCAGATGGTCCTGGTGGCCCTGACTCCAGTGGTCTCGAGTTTGGTGGTCCTGGAGGACCCAACTCCGGTGGTCCTGAGTCTGGTGGTCCTGGAGGACCCGACTTTGGTGGTCTCTAGTCCAGTGATCCTGGAGAACCCGACCCAGGTGGTCCCGAGTCTGGTGGTCCTGGAGGACCCGACTCTGGTGGTCTCAGAGGTCACCACAGAACCACTATGGTCCTGGTGGCCCTGACTCCAGTGGTCTCGAGTTTGGTGGTCCTGGAGGACCCAACTCCGGTGGTCCTGAGTCTGGTGGTCCTGGAGGACCCGACTTTGGTGGTCTCTAGTCCGGTGGTCCTGGAGGATCTGACTCCGGTGGTCCCGAGTCTGGTGTTCCTGGAGGACCCGACTCTGGGGGTCTCA